TATTATTATTATTATTATTATTATTATTATTATTATTATTATTATTATTATTATTACTGTCATTGTCGTTATTGTCTTTACTGATGAATCAAATATTAAGCTTTATTGTAACTATTCAGATATCATATTATTATTATTATTATTACTATCATTATTATTATTATTATTATTATTATTATTATTACTATTGTACATTGGCGAAATTACCCCACAAGCTTTCTGCCAACACTAATGATAAACGTCAAGGACGAGTTGCCAAAATTTTATTATCATTGTCAAAAAAATTACCACTATTATCATTGCAATTGTTACCAAAAACAAAATCGGCGGCTGGTTTGTTTCAGTGAGAATTATTAATTGAGAAATGCTAATTGGGAGTCAGTTTTTCAATGGTCAGTTTTCTTGGTCAGTATTTCAGTGGTCAGTTTTCTTGGTCAGTTTTTCAGTCCGCTCCAAAAACAGTCAAATACCGCCTATATGACTCTTCCAGATGGATATTTCAGTCGTTTGAGATGTGCCGTTTCGTTAAGTTTAGCTGAAAAAGTTAGTGTGAAATCATTACAGAGCTCTTCTGTGTTGTATGCTGATTCCGTGTAGATGTTATAAAGACGGCTCCTCGATTCGACATCACTCATTTATTTACAAATCAAAAGTATCGTTTGTACAGCAGCAGCACATAATATCATAAATAAGTAATGCATCGTTGTAAGACTCAATCACCCAGTCGGAGGACGCATCGAAACGCTGCCCTTCGCCGCCTTACTGAAAGGCCCGAAACCGGAAGGCCCAAATGGCAAACCATCGCCAGGCAGTGGACCAAAGAAGCCACCGTTAGGTGGTGGACCAAAAAAGCCACCGTCAGGTGGTGGACCGAAGAAGCCTCCGTCGGGAGGGGGACCGAAGAAACCGCCGTTAGGCGGGGGACCAAAGAAGCCTCCGTCGGGAGGCGGACCAAACAACCCACCGTCAGGTGGCGGACCAAAGAACCCACCGTCAGGTGGCGGACCAAAGAACCCCCCATCGGGTGGCGGACCAAAGAAACCCCCATCGGGCGGGGGACCAAAGAAACCGCCGTTAGGCGGGGGGCCAAAGAACCCCCCATCGGGTGGCGGACCAAAGAAACCGCCGTCAGGTGGCGGACCAAAGAACCCACCGTCAGGTGGCGGACCAAGG